AAAATTATTATTATTATTAAAAATTTATTTCGGTCGTTGCGTCATTGATAAAAATTTTCTTTTCTTTTTTTTTTTGTTAATAAGATTAATTTTTACAATATGAAAAAAACAAAATAATGATGATGATAATAATAATAATGATGGAAACAATGTCGATTTATTTGTTTTTGTTTTAAAAGAAAATTTTAAAAAAATGGCGTCGAATTTTTTTTTCAAACCGCCCATTTTTTTTTTTTTTTTTTTTTTTTACGGTTAATTGTCGTTACGGTTTTCATCTCGAAATGATTTTCTTATTACGCAGCATCCCACCAACTTAAAATGTATCAAAAAATTTTCTTATGTTTTATCATTATTATTATTATTATTATTTATTACTTTTTATCATCGTCATCGTCATCGTCATCATCATCACTTTTTTTTCATGACTCTTTTAAGATTCGTCATTTAATTACTAATTGTTTTTTTTTATTCCCCCCTGTTTGTTGTTTGTTGTTTGTCTTGTTTGTTGTTGTAATTTTTTCAAACCCCAAAAAAAACCGAAAATGAGTTTTCGTTTAACGATTTATTACGTCATAAAAAAAAAAAAAAAAATTTTTTTGGCATCTGTTTTATGTCTAAAAAAAAAAAAAAATGTCAAATGACGATGATTTGAATATAAATAAACGAAAAAAAAATTAATTTATTATTATTATTATTATTTCGTACCGGAAATGGGTGGTTGTTTTATTTTTAAAAATTCTTCACGACAAATAACTGTAAAAAAAAAACAAACACAATGGATTGTGCCGTAAGCAAAACCTAATAATAATAATGATAATGATAATTTTTAATTGCGACATTTTTTTTTTTTTTCAGTAAAAAAATTAAAATTTTTACGTAAAAAAAAAAAATAATAATAATAATAATTTTTCCATTGTTTTTTTGCGTACTTTAAATTACGTAATATTTACAATATTATCATCATCATTATCATTATTATTATTTTAGGTATGGAGATCGGTAAAGTGTAAACATTTTTTATTCGTGTAACGTCGAACAGTCACCGGAAATAAATTTTTAAAAATAAAACAAAAAATTCATTCAAACGTTCGAACGCGTCCTTCGCTCGATTAATTAATTACACGCAACAAATTAATATTTAACTTATCGGATTTGAAATAAATAATAATAATAATAATAATAATAATAATAATAATAATAATAATAATAATAATTTTGTTTCTTTTCCAGTTCATAAAGGATAAAAAAAATAAAAATGTACAATTGTCGCAAATAAATCAAAAGGGAAAACCAACGATGGAAATATATAGGCCACCTAACGTCAGAGCGGACGGTACAACTACTGGAACAAATAATAATAATAATAATAGTCATAATAATAATAATAATAATAATAATTTAGGAAGTCAAAAATTAAACGTTCACGCGAAAGAATTCACGACGAAATATAATCAACTCCAGGCAACAAGGTTTTTTATTTTTTTATTATTATTTATTTTTTTTTTTTTTTAAAAGTTATGAAAGTTATGAAGTTAAATAAGTGAAAGTTATGAAAAATGTTTTAAAAATAAAAAAAAGCCATCACGTACGTACCTACGCAAAAAAAAAAAAATCAGGTATTAACACACGTGCAACAACGACACCCTTTTCTTAATATGGGGAAGTACCTACGATTTGTGTGTATTTTAATTACATTCCTGCCACGTTTTTTTTCTTTTTCTAAAACAGTTATGATTTAAAACTAAATCGAATCGATTAGAAAAAAACTAAAACTAAAAAAGACTAAAATTTTGTTTTTTTTTTTGCTGTTGTATAAATTTTAGCGGTGGATTAATGGGTAAAAAACACAAACATTATCTTCAGCAATCCCTCTCAAGTGGGAATATTTTGCATGAGGCACAAAATTTAAATGCTCACAGAGTACATTTCAGCCTTCAATCCGCCAATAGTAATAATAATAATAATAAATTAGATTCATCAAATTCTAATAGATCAAGTTTAAAATCACACGACAGCAAATCAAATAAAATAAATCACGATAATAAACAAGTTCGATTTCATAGTGAGTTAGTTTACCAATAAATTATTATTATTATTATTATTTTAAACGGATTACGATTTAAAAAAAAAAAAAATTTTTTTTTAAAGACAACAACACGCCATTTCCCGGATTACAGAGATCAAAAAGTTTGGGAGCAGCAGATATGAAAGCGAGAAGATTATACGGCGCTCCCAATACGATAGATTTAGGAAATTTCCCCCCACAAATTCAAGCAACCATATTTAAAGCTTTGGAGGGTAATTAACGGTTTCTATATTTATAACCAAAGTTTACATTAGAGCGAAATAATAATAATAATAATGATATTTTTTTCCAGATCCTAATCAATTATCGGATCGTAATCTCATGGAATTGGTACGATGCATCATGGAAAGAGTTTTGGAAAGTAGAAAATTTGCCGAACCCGGTGCAAAATTATGCATTAAAATAATTGAAAAAGAAAAAAAGGAAACTTTTCTTGAATCCCTATTGAACACTTGTCAACAATGGTATCAAGAAAGAAATCAATTATTAAAAGGAACCCCGAATAAATTTCCAACGTATATGGCATTTTTAAACGAAATGTACTGTCAGGTAGGTAAAATAATAATAATAATAATAATAATGAAAAAATTTTCCTCGTCTTTCGGAAACAAATTTATAAATAAATTATTATTATTATTTTCTTTTATCTAGTTAAAAAGAATGCAATTGCGAATTGAAAACTCACCACGAAGGTGTACCTCCAGGTCTTTTACTTCTCACTCTTTTATGTAAAAGTTGTCAGG